TCAAACAATAGCATTTTGGGCCATATTGGGCCTAAAAATGTCTCACTTGGTTTCTTGGGCTTTATTGGGCCGTAAACCCTTATATAGGCCCAATGAGCCGACAATTTCCATATTAGATCCTATAAATTTCGAATATATTCAATAGTGACCCAAAACAATTCTTTTCTTTTCCTCTTTACTCCATTTTCGGTTATATATACTTATATATAAAAAAAAAACACAATTGAACAAAACTTTGACACCTCACTTTTCTTTGTTGGATTTCTAAGCTAATTACACCACAGATATCTAGAATTAGTCCCTAATCCTCCATGCAATAACCACTTCACTCTCTTCTTTCTTCTTCTTTTATCTCTCAGCCACACTAACCCCATTACCATCTTCATTTTTCCATTCTCAACTCACTAGAAATCCTCTCTAGAACTCTCAATAAATCCTCCCATTTTCCTCTCCAAATTCGTGAGTGTTAGTGTGGGAATCCAAGAATACTTCAACAAATCCATCCATTCTTGGTAAGTTACTTCTCATCAAGATGTTTAACTACATGTTTATGAATAAAATCACTTCTCTTACACTCCATTTCATGATCTATGTTCCTTAGAAACCTCATAAGCTCGAGATCTACTCAAGAAAGCTTGTTAGGGCCGAAATCTCTCTCATTCTTCATCCAAAAACCGAACCCATCAAACCAATGTGAGTTCATACCCCCTATTTTTGGTTTTTACTATGTTTTGGAGGGAGAATACAAGTTGTTTTGTGTAGATCTATGTGTATATGCATGATTATGTGTGTTTTTCATGATATATGTTGTGCTTATGTGTTATAAACTTCATAAACTCGAAAATACGCTAAAATATGATGATATTTGTAGAACATAACACTCAATACAACTTATTATGAAAAGAAAAGGTTTAAAACATTTCAAGGTTGATTTAAAACTAAAAAATCGCATAAGAGGGCCAAAAATGACAAAATAATCATAAAGTGAAGTTATTATATAACTCACAGTTTTGAAGGGACCAAAAAGGATTTATGTTGAATAAATATGGATCTTTATGGTATTTATGATTTTAAAAGGGCTAAAAGTGTAAATTTTCACAAATGGGCCTCATATTGGACTTTCACGGTTTTTGGGCTAAAATTTTAAAATTTTGGACTTTTGTGGGCTTTAGTGTCATTTTAAACAAAGTTGAGCCAAAAATGTTATTTTTCGGTTATAAGGGCTGAAAATGATAATTTTATCAAACTTGGGCTAAAAAGGATAAATCCTATGCTTTTAGGCCGAAAATGTAAAACTTTATACATTTGGGCCGAAAATGATATTTTTGACAAAAGTTGGTTAAAAATGTTATTTTATTTGAAACTAGCCTTAAATGTAAACTTTTGGTCTTAAGGGACCTAAAAACTAAATTTTACCAAAAACATGCCTAAATTGTAAATTTTTAGTCTAATGGACCAAAAATGTCAATATTAAAAAAAGTGGGCATTTTTATGTCATTTTGGAAAACGATTGAACAATAACGAACATTACAATAATAAACGAATCAAATACGTTAAACTCACTTTTATTGGGCCTGGAATATACATTACATGCTTAGTGGGCCTTAGTTGTCCTTTTGCATGCTTATTGGACCAGGAATATACATTACATGCTTAGTGGGCCTTAGTTGTCCTTTTGCATGCTTATTGGGCCTGGAATATACATTACATGCTTAATGGGCCTTAGTTGTCCTTTTGCATGCTTATTGGGTCTGGAATATACATTACATGCTTAATGGACCTTAGTTGTCCTTTTGCATGCTTATTGGGCCTGGAATATACATTACATGCTTAATGGGCCTTAGTTGTCCTTTTGCATGCTTATTGGGTTTGGAATATACATTACATGCTTAATGGGCCTTAGTTGTCCTTTTACATGCTTGTTGGGCCTCATACATTCACGCACATATTTGTTTGGCTTTGTAATCTTAAAACATACACGGAAACAATACACAATGTGCAATTCAATATTCGCGTAAATTCCGTTAAGGATCTTGTGAGACACTTCGTTTGACACCTATCGAGTGTACAACCGTAGCCTGTAGTTATAACCAGAGTCTCCTTGAGGGAGAGCGGGAGTTTGTGTATAGATCTATACGGGGGTGACACCCCACATTTGAGCTGTTCGCTACAGTTAGACTAGGGCAGTCTAGGGTGACAAACCTTACCTTAAACAAGTCGACGTCTGTAAAACGTCATTGCAGGGAGATCAGTCATTATCAAGTATGGTTATAACGACTCACATAGAGAAATTAACTCCATTATAAAATTTACGGAATACATTTACAGTTGGCAACACGAGAACATACATGCACTGGTACTCAGTCTTAGGGTATTTAGACCACAACGTTTTATGAATAGACAATATCGGATTGTCTGGGATCATTCACTTCATACATTAACACACATGCATTAATACCAGATCGGACACAAACATTTCAAACCGTGTTTCAGAAAATATCAGATTTTCTGGTGTTTACAAAGTAATACAAAACATTTTACTCAAACATGCTTATGAACTCACCAACATTATATGTGTTGACGTTTTCAAATTAACTTTTATTCTCAGGGAATCGTTAAGCAGAAAGGTCGACAGGAACATATGGAAATTGTCATATTTTGTATCATCATACATTAACTATTTGGGCATGTAATATTTAGTACAATACTTGATGTAAACAATGACGGTTGTATTTTGAATGTATGATGATGGTGTTTGTCATGTTTCATTTATATTCACTGTGATGATACTACAAGAATGAAGTCACCCAACCCCGAACGTTTCCGCCGTCTGGTTCAGGGGTGTGACACTCTCATACACACACAGACAAACACACACGCAAGAACACCCCAACTGCCACCACCATCTGCCAGCACCACCACCAGACGCCACCGATTTGTTCATACATCGGGGAAGGAGCGACAATGACTTTGTTCTGCATCATAGCTTCGGTGGAAGGAAGGGACATTGGTGATGATGAAAAAGTCGACATAGGTCTCCTATCATCATTGTTTGCCAACTATCACCGTCCGCATGCCACCACCATAGGCCACTAACCACCTCTATCTCCCCTACCCATACCTCCAAATCCCCTTCTTTAATTCGATGAAACCTCTCCTTCTCAAATCTGAAAACCCAGATCTCATTAGTTTCAGAACAAGTGGTGGCGATGAAGGGTTTCCATAAACCGATAAAACCCATAAATTAGAGCACTCGTTGTCTGATTGAAGTTAACAAAAGGGTAAAACAAGTTGCTGCGGTTCAGATTGACTGACCGCTGACAGCAACAACCCGAAGGGAATAAAGTAGCAGGAACAACAGGGAATCGGGGGTGCTTGGTTGCTGTTCCGATTAACAAAAAATATAGGAAGGAGAGGCTGATGCCTCTTGTTGTTCATCGAAAAAACACCACACCTCTAGTGTATTCTTGGCATAAAAACAGAGAAGAAATGGAGAGTGGAGGAGCGGCGATCTAGGGGTGTTTGGGTGGTGTTACTCAACAGGAGGAGGGGCTATTGCCTCCTCTTTGGCCGGAAAAGCTGCCTCCGATGGAGGCTTTCTCCATACACAATACGAGAGAGAGGCTATGTGGGCCCTTTCTTATATTTTTAGTTATTAAATAATTAAAACAAATATTAAAAATGTAAAAATAAAAATAAAAGGGTATAATAGTCATTTTAATTTTCAGAGGGACCAAAACTACATATAAACTATACCAAAATGACCATGAAACCAAAAAGAATCAAAGTTTAAACTAAATCTTGAAAAAATACATACCACATGGACAATTTTTACATTTTTATCTAAATTTTATAAAAAGTTAGCTATTTTTTTTCAAATACTTAATTTATAGGTGTTAGATCACTTAATTTCCCAAAATATAAACATATTACTAGGGGTGAGCATGGTGCGGTTCGGTGCGGTTTTTGGCCAAACCGAACCGAAAACTGCAACTTCGGTTTTTTGAAGTTTAGAAACCGCACCGTTCGGTTTTTATGCGCTTCGGTTTTTGTGTTTCGGTTTTTTCTTTGCAGTTTTTTATCAATTTTTTTTATTTGGTTTTTGTTTTGCCTTTTTACTAAAACTCAGGTAACTCAACGAGTTACTTTGACTCGGATAAGAAGTGTTAATCACTTTTTGAGAAACTTTCTATAGAGATGAGGAGCACCAAATTTTTCATCCCCAGCAATGTGCGACTCCTCAAAGATGTGTGTTAAAAGCCATAGAGTTGACTATCTTATATGAAATGTGAGAATGGTGAATGTTTTATCTCAAATGCGATGAGGGATACTCTTATAAGGCTGACAAAATTAAAGCTCAAATGATATCTTGGAGATGAACCGATATCACCACCTCTTGGTTTGAAATCAAATAACATAACCACTCATCCAACATGTTTCTAATGCTTGAATATAATACGAATTAAATATAATATTTGTTTCACAGGTACATACGACAATATCAATTAATGTATTCATAAAAAAATGATACTAAATACTCTTAATATTAAAATGTTAAAAAATATAATAAACATTATTTGTTCTTGTAAATATCACTACATGTATGCTTAAAAATATACAATCATCACCTTATAAGATAAATATTTATATTTATAGAAAATTTAATTGTCATGAGTTCTTCGTTCTTATAAATATCAACGATTAATATATATATATATATATATATATATATATATATATATATATATATATATATTTATATATATTCGGTGCGGTTCGGTTTTTTGCGGTTATCGTAAGACTAGAAACCGCACCGCACCGAACATATTCGGTTTGTGCAAAACTAAAAACCGCACCGTCGGTTTTCATTTCGGTTTCGGTTTTTCGGTTTCGATTTATGCGGTTTTTTCGGTTTGCTGTTCGGTTTTTGCCAGCTATAATTTATTAACAAAGCACGAATAAACATCAAGAAAAGATAAAGCACTGCCTATCAGCGTATAGGTGTTGAGTGTTCGCGCGTGTTTTCGACTCGAGAAAGCAAAATGGCGGGAAGGTTGTAGCCTTAGGGGGATTTTAGGGTCCAATACTCCATTTCAACCACAAATGGGCGGCGGAAGTGCGTCTATGGAGACCGGAACCATCAATCTAGCCGGCGTCGCAGTCGATCTCACCGATCAGATCCATCAGCTGCCTAGCTGCATCAAGTACGACGGACCAGCCCCTGTTTCTAGCTACTTCAAACCCAAATCCACCGGTAAATACCTTTTATATCCATCCCATTCATTGATTATGTGTCGAAATTGATTCCAAAATTAGGTTTTGAATTTGTATTTTGTTTACGATTCTGAAAGAAATTGAGGTCGATGGTCTTAATGTGAAAGAGGCTTGCTTCAGGGGAAGAAAGTTGCTAGGCACAACCTTTCCTCTTCCTGATGGTTATTCAGGTACAGAATACAGATCTAAATTCTTACTTATCTTTTCTTTTTAAATGATTATATTCAGTCATGTTCTTGAAATTTAACTTTGTCTTACAATGATTTATATAAGTCGTTGAGAATCTTTTTCTGGAAATTTAAAAGCTTTTGTGTTTCTTGAAATTAGGCGTTGTCAAACTTGTTTTAACCATAGAAATATTGCAGGATTTGTGATAGGAAAAAAGAAAGCCTCAGGGAAGAGAAAAGCTTCTTCTAATGGCGATGCAGAGATGACAACTTCTTGGCAGATGAATGCAAAGTTTGAAAACATAACTTTATGGAATCACGATAATCGTCCATCAAAAGAAGATGCTTTTTTGCGTGCTTTTCATTGGCTTGATGTTGCAAAAGCAGTAAGTTTTTTCTGTTCCATATTTGGTCAAGAATCTTCTAAAAACTATATTTTATATATTATAAAAACTTAATTTTGCAATTCAATTAAAAAAAGATCAATCTTTTCAATTACGAAACTTCTTTTTTTAGGGCTCAATTGGATTAAAGTTATAATTTTTAGTCTCTCACCCAAAAAGGTTGGACATGGACTTGCTTGTGCAAAAGACACGAATGCCCTTATCCTTAGATCATGCTATGTGAGGAGACGACCAAGACGTTTATGTCTTTTGCACATACAAGAAATTAAGAGTAAGTCCATGTTGTGGATGGGAAAAAAATTACAATTTCTTGTATTGTCCTAAAATTGATGAATTTATAACAAACTAGTTATCAAATATGAATATGATGAATTTATGTTGTTGAATTTGAGTTTTAGATGTTAATTTGGAAAGTTTATTTTTACTCTTACATGATCTTTTTTTGCAGTTGCATAAACCAGTAACAAGTGAAGAAATGGAGTCAAAATCTAACCTTTGAGCTACTGCAACAGACTGAGCTAAAAGACAATCTTCTATATGTATCTTTTTTACTGAGTTCACTAGTTAATTAAAACTTTGTATTGTAGCATTGTATTTTAATTTGTTGTTACTATAAATTTGTATTTTTTTTTTAAATTATATTCTAATTAGTGCATTGTAATTTGGAAAAATTTACCTAGTATAGCAATTTGGCAACAGGTTTAAAAGATAGCAGTACAGCTGTTGCTAAGGCTGAATGAGGGGTAAATGTGTAATTGCACATATTCAGATAAAACAAAAAAGATTAAATGCAAGGAATAGTAATGTGCTTTTGTATATTTATTTAAAATCAAATGGGATCCGGTTCTTAAAGTAGTTAAGTTCAGAAGGCAGCATTGGCGATGAATCTACTTTAACAACGAATAACCTAAAAAAACAATTAACATGTTTTTATTCCTTTAATTTCAAATACAAAGTTGATATTATATTGATTCTTTTGAAATAGTTTTTGAATGTTAACATCATTCATGCTTTGACCATGAAAACCTTATCCTATTTTAATCTTTTTCATTTCTTCTATTGATATCATGATGTTTATCATATATCTTCATAGTACATTTGGTGAGTATATGACTAGAAGACACTTCTCTAAACATTTTCATTAGGGACTAAACTATGGTTTTATAATTTGATTATATTTACATTACACAAAAACTACAGTTTGTTGCGGCCCATCAAAAATTTATTAAAGGGAAAACGACTTGATAGGGTAATATACTTTTTGAAATGTACACATTTAGTCCTTATTTATTATTATTATTATTATTATTTTTTTGTAAATTAAACCCTTATACTAGATTTTTTGTAATTATGCAATCCTTTTGACAGGCTATACCCGGTATACCGGTCATATACGAATTTTCTTTTATTTTCTTGAAATGAAATAAGCAGGTGACATCTACATGTCACCTTACATGGATATTGTTAAATTACATCACATTTTGACGACAATTAGGGCTCATTTAATCAGCCATTCCTCCATTCACTCAGCCGATAATCCCTCAAACTTCTTGACTCACAATCACCATCAACAATGGCAGAAGATGCATATACAATCGTTGATGTACACTATAATGGGATGTTCACACCTACCCCATTGATGTATTTTGATGGAGTAAAAGCCTCTGTACCATACACGGTTGTGAACAAGATGAGCTTCCCTGATTTCACCCCCTTTCTTGAAAAGCTTACTAACGGAAGATGCAGATGTGTATTACTGTCCACATGAAGTGAGGTTGTCTGAGGGATTACATGCTATTCAGAATGACTGCAATTTTAACGAGTTTATTGAAGATATCAATGAAAAGAAGAGATTGGATGTGTATGTGGATCATCATCATGAACCTTTGTTTGATTGGATTCAGGAGGAAGAATTACACAACAAGTCTATTACATCAACATCCCCTAAAACCTCCAGAAGCATATCTTCAACCCCAAAACATAACCTTAACAATGACCAGCAGAATCAGTACACAAACCATAACCTTCAACTGTTTCACTTCTTCTCTAACAGATGCCACATCCTCGAAAACTTGTATAAGATAATCTACAACATCTGAAAGAGTATGTTCTACAATGGGCTTCATATTCTCAGGTTCTTCATCAATCCATTCCCAAACTTTACACTTTTTCCCTGGTTTCTTTAGTAATAAAATCAACTACATAGAAGGTAAGAAGAAGAAAATTGATGCAATTTGACAAATAAAATCAATTTAGGTATTTACCAATTAGTTAGGGAACACTCGGAATTTCTTTCCAGGGTTATCTTTGGTCTTGGAGGTACGAATTCTTGTAGGGAGTTTACAATCACAGAGGACTTCCTTATCTACTCTGTGATTGCTTGAACCTGTGGATATTCTTGAGCCACTCGACATCTTCTTTCTTCTTCTACGACAAAACCGTGATTCCTCCTGATTTTGGATGTTAACATTCGTTTATAAGGAGTGACTAAGCTAATTAATTGTTATGCAGTTGTTTTTAGTGCCACGTGTGCTTCCACATCAGCAAAACCTATAGAATCCGGTCAAAAGGACCTAATATGTACATATTAATAAAGAATAAGGGTTTAATTTACAAAAAAAAATAAGGACTAAATATATACATTTCAAAAAGTAACTTACCATTTTCCCCTTATTAAACATGAATATAAATACCAATTTACTAATATACCCTCAAACACTGCTTTTTGCAGGGAAACACTGAATCGATTTTGGACCCACACTTGCATTCTAGAGTTAGAAAACTGAAGAAAGAAAACGAACCGAGAAAGTGGTCGTCTCTCTTACTCTAACAGTGATCTTTGCTTACAATATATACGAAGCTCCATTAACGAAAAGGTCGATCTCTATCCGTCAATTTTTATCTCTTTCTTCCCCGGTTGTGTCTCTTCGTCCCTGCTGCTCCGTCGACCCGTGTCCCTTCGCAGTTCGCAACCTGCAACTGAAGGAGTGAAAGATGTAATACTTGTTCTCGGATCTCTATGACACTTTCTTTGTGGACCTCTGTCTCTCTCAAACCATGCTGTTTAGCGGTTCCAAACCCTAACATCATCCGCTTTTGTGCCATGGAGTCCCTCTATGCATATTTATCTCCCTTTCATAAAATTGAACAAGATGAGAATCTTTTGCGACTTGACCTAATTATTAGAATGGGTGGTCTCGGAATTTCAGTTGTGACATTCATCTGGTGCATTGGGTTTTAGTCTAACATTTCGGTACAGCATGTCAATTGCATGGTCGGAGTGAGAAATTTGGGTCGTAACATGTAAGCAAACTACACCCCAATCTAAAATTCTTTCTCTCCAAGTGCCGACTCATGAAACGGTTTCAATTTTTAACATAGATGTGACAAAACTTTTTAACATACGTTTTGATTTGTAATTCTTACCCATAATTAGATGTGATTACAAAAATATTTTCCTTTATTGCTTGAACTTTAATATGTTATTTTGTAATATGTGATTATAATTTATTAATTAAGCCAATGTTACATGATTTTTTTAAAGTCAATTATTTGTATGAATTTATTAAATTTCTGAGTTTTATGGATTGTTTGAACTTTGAAAGCAGTTAGGTTATGACATAACTCATATGTGATAACAAAAATCTCTTCAAGGACTCAACTTCTTTGTTATGATGCCTTTTGTGAGCATTGGGCTTATTGAGATAAAAATTGTAACTTTTTGTCTCGAAAAGATGGAACATGGTCTCGCTATTGATCTCTTTTGTATGTAAAGGATATGAATGTCTTCCTTATCTTTGTCTCCCGAACCATTTTTAGCAAGTCCCAAGAAAGGGATATGAGGCTGCTTATATTACAATGGGAGATGAGGAGAGCATTTATGTCTTTTGCACATATAAGAGCTCGAGAGCAAGTCTACGCCTTACATTTTTGGTTGAGACAAAATAATTACAATTTTTATCTTATTGAGTCAAACGCAGAACCTGTGTGTCTTGTGATGTCCAAATATTGATGAATTTATATTGAACTAGTTATTAAACATAATTGATGTTGTAATGTCATTAAATTTGATGAATTTATATTGAATTTGATATTGTTAATTATGTATATTTGTTGTATTGTTACATGATCTCTATTTGGAGGTGCATGACCTAGTGACAAGTGAAGATATGGGGTCTGTATTGCTAACATACGGGCAACTCAGCCAAGAGTCTATCTTCATTCAACAACCTTATTTATTTATTTATTTATTTTAAAATCACTAGTTAATTCAAAGTTTGTATTAATTCACTAAGGCCCTGGTAAGATATGTTATTCGTCTATTTATTTCTTGAATTATTAATTTCTTTTAAATAATTTTTTTTAATTTCTTTTCTATTGGATTATTATCTTTTTACTGAATTATTATACATTATAAAATATTATTTTAAATATATAATATTTATGTATTAATAAATATTATTTAATTGGATTATGAACTTCTTTTAAATAATTTTTTTAAATTTCTTTTTATGGATTAATTCTTTTTTATTTGATTATTATATATTAATAAATATTATTTATAATATATAATATTAATCTATTAATAAATATTACTTTATTGAATTATTAATTTCTTTTAGTTATTTTTTAATTCATTTTTATTGGATTAATTCTTTTTTTTTGGACAACACCACCACCATCCTAATTTATATTAAAAAATCTCATCCATCCCACCACTATCAGACATAAACCGAGTCAAGAATCACACATTGGGTTATTAAAAAAAAAAAAACTAAAATGGCTAGAAAGAATAACAACATAACATCAACTTGAAAAACAATAAACTAAAAACAACCTAATCAAAATTCTATGTGGATTATAATTGATTTATGGTTAATTACTTTGTATGACAATTTATATTTGGATTTTAAATGATTATTGTGTAATTTTGATTTTTTATTACAATTTGTATGTTTTTTTATAAATATTGAGCTACTTCATCCATCACAGTATAGAACAGAAGTATAATATGGTCATTTTTCATCATTCAGCACAGTCAGTCAGATGTACAATCAAACAACATGGTTTTTTTCCTGTCAGAAAACTTTTCCAGACAACAACTATCAAACGGGGCCTAAATCTCTTTCATTTTTTTTATTATAGCATGTTACGACAACATATTTTACTATTATTAAATGATATTCTTATTAGGGCATTGTATTTTGAAAAATCTACTTATCATAGTAATTTGGTAAGCAGTTTGAAAGGTAGCAGTGCACTTATTGTTGTTATAGGTGGGTATATATTTTCAACATACAACACCCTAATAAGATGTAATTTAACAACTGTAATAAAAAGAGTGAAAGTACAATGCTACAATAGAATATTGAAAAATACATTGCTTATTTTCTTGCATTTATCCCTTGTCAACATTGTGATTTACCTACACGCATGAGACTAGTTAGTAGGGACGCCTAAGTGTGGTGTGTATGAATTTCAAATAATAACGATAATTACCTTTATTTTACATGTAATTTGTGCAGTATAAAATATTTTACTTTGGAAAAGATTTTAGTATTTTTACACGTTTATACACTAACAAGTAAAAATCATCACAAAATGTCTACCATTGTTCACAACCTTTTCAACGTGGGCACAAAAATGTATTTTAGGTTATTTTACGACTAATTAAACACTTTGCAAACATGCATTTCACATTTTTGGAATTAAGTATATAATAAACACTAAAATACCAAATTTTCTAATACCAAAATTTCTCAGTTTACTACCTTAGGAGATATGACTGATGATGAAGGAATGGATAAGGTCCACACTCACATCCTTGAGGGTCTGCATTGGATTAGTGAGGTCTCGTTGCGAAACAAGGCTAGGGTTGCTGCCTCTTCTTCGTAGCATATTGAGTTTCAGAAGGCCTCCGAGCTTCTAGAGGATATCCGAGTGAATTACCATGCCTTGGATAGGGAAAAATAGTGCTAGCCCGGAAGAGAGAAGATCTTGCTGCTGAGAACGACCTCCTGCTTCGGGAGTTTGATTAGTATTCCCAATACCACGAGGAGCTCCTAAAGGCAAATGTGAAGCTTCAGACTATAATTAGCAAGGAAAGTGCCCACCGTGTTGCCCTAACCACGGAACTGGAAGAGGTTGCTAAGAAAAACTCTGAGTTGGGCTTGGCTTGTTTTGAGAAAGAAACTCAAATTAGTCGGCTTCGGGAAAGTCTCGCCGAGTGTCAGCTTAAGCTGAAAGATCAAACAGCCCGTTGTGAGGAAATGCAGGCCGAGTCTTCCACTTCAAAACAGGAGGCTCTCTTTCACCAACACCTGGCCGAACAGAGGTCTGAGGAGCTTCACTGGGTCCTAAGGGAGAGAATATCCTCTTCGGTCTAATATCTATTAAACTATGAGGAATTCAACACTATGAATGTCGCCCTTCAATCTGTCGCCATTGAGCTTAGCCTACACCGGGCCTTCTTGGAGATGAAAAATAAATATTCGGCAAAGATTGAAGGGAAAGAAGTTTTATACTCTTATTCGAATGTCGAGGAAGTTATACTACAACACTTTTCCAATCTTACCGATTATAACTATCCTTTTTTTAAGATTCTAGATACCGACAACAAGGATGTGGGTCTATTAAAGAAACATTTGGAGGATACCGGCTTGGCTACTGATGCAAAATGATTTACTTAGTGTAGTTGAAAAAGGAAAATCCTTTTATGCTAGTTTCGATTGTATGTTTGTATTGCTTATATATGGAATGAATCTTTTGTACCTCCTTTATGCTTGCTTGTTTTGTGTTTGTTTGTTTTTTTAAATCATAGTGCCTAAGTCTCCGTAACTCACTATACTCAGATCATGGAACTAGAATCATGATAGTACGTTTAAAGGTCAAACCATGATGTACGAGTCATGGCGACCTAACATGACCGAGCCATGGTGTTAGAACCGTGGTGGTATGTTTTCAGGGTCGAGCCATGATGTGCAAGTCATGGTGACCTAACATGACCAGACCATGGTGTTAGAGCCATGTTGATATGTTTTAAGGGTCAAACCATGATGTGCAAGTCATGGTGATAAAACATAATCGGGCCATGGTGTTAGAACCATGGTGATATGTTTTAAGGGTCGAACCATGATGTGCAAGTCATGGTGACCAAACATAACCGGGTCATGGTGTTAGAACCATGGTGGTTTGTTTTAAGGGTCGAACCATGATGTACAAGTCATGGTGACCAAACATAACCGGGCCATGGTGTTAGAACCATGGTGGTATGTTTTAAGGGTCGAACCATGATGTGTAAGTCATGGTGACCAAACATAACCAGCCCATGGTGTTAGAACCATGGTGGTATGTTTAAAGGGTCAAACAATGACATGCAAATCATGGTGACCTAATATGACCGAATCATGGTATTAAAACCATGGTGGATTAGTACCTTAAAAAGTTCGATGCGAAAATAAAAATTGTACT